AAAAAAAAGAATATATACTGTATATGTATATATAATAACCATAATAAAATTTGTAATAATATAATATAAATAATCATAAAATAATAATAATAATTCTAACAAAATAATAAATAATAATATTGTTACTTTTATTATTATTAACAATAATAACAATAAAATAAAGTAATAATAATAGAATATAAATAAATTGACAAAACAACAGCAGTAATATTATTATTATAATTATTAATACTAATAAGAAACTAAAAACAATAATAAAAATCAACAATCAAATCAATTATTTGATATGCTTTTTTAAAATTATATAATAATAATACTAATAATGATAATAATAATAATAATTTAATATAAATAACCATAAAAATAATAAAAAATAAATATTACAATAAAAGAACATAAATAAACATGGATGTATTCATACCTGCCCAATTTCCAGCATGGAGTGCACATTGTTCATGTCAATAACAAAATCGTTTTTTTCCATGTCATACACCATTTTTGAGCTGCCAATGTAGTCAAAGGCTTCCTATGAGAGAGAAAGAGCTTGTAAAAATATTTAAAACTGCAATGAAATACATGAACAGATAGATGCCTGCTGCATACTTCTACTCATACAGTATTTCCACTGTAGTGATCAAGTTATGAACACTAGTGTACTGCATACTGCTCAGTATATACTACATGCAGCAGTACACAGCGATAAACAAACAGGTCACATGACCTTATTGTGTTACATGTGTAACAGCGAGTGGTTACAAATGTTATCTGCATAATTTTAAATCCAATTTTGTATCAAACTGTCTTCACTTCTCGCGGTCTGATCCAATAACGATGAAAGAAAAACGTGTAAATAAACACACTGACCCCTTGGAAGAAGGTGAAGAAGATATTGCGAGGGGGCGGAGCTTCCTGAGTGACAGGAGAGAGGGCTTGAATGGCGGCCAATAGGGTGACGATTCCAGACACGGTTCCTTCGGCCGCCGGAGCCTGTTCCCAGAAAAACGACCTGCCGTCGAGCTGAGACACAAAAGAACAGTGCTCGGTTTATAGCTGGAAACCTCTAGCGGACTGGAGAATGAGCACAGATGTTATTTAAATTAAACATCCTGGGGCTGTCTAAATGGCTAAAAAAAAATAAATTTGAATTTTGTACTTCAATATTCGAATTCAAAAGGCATAATTTCAGTTAGGGGGGAAAAAGCTTTTAGCTTCTCTCTTGAGGCCACAAGAGGGCGCATCGAGCAAAATATTACTAATGCACGTTTCTTCAAAGCAATAAAATAACACAACTATCTTTGAAAAAAGTGCATAATGTTTAAAATAATGTTTCTAAACCATATATAATTAATTAAGTTGCTTAAACAATTAGAAACAAAACAGCATCATGTACACTACCGTTCAAAAGTTTGGGATCAGTAAGACTAAGTCTCTTCTGATCATCAAGGCTGCATTTATTTGATCAAAAATACAGAAAAAAAATGTAATCTTGCAAAATGTTATTACAATATAAAATAATGGTTTCTATTTTAATATCCTTTAAAATATAATTTATTTCTGTGATGCAAAGCTGAATTTCCATCATCATTACTCCAGTATAAAGTGTCACATGATCTTCAGAAATCATTCTAATATGCTGATTTATTATTAGAATTATCAACAGTTGTGCTGCCAAATATTTTTTCGGAAACGGCAATACTTTTTTCAGGATTCTTTGATGAATAAAAAGTTAAAAAGAACAGCATTTATTCAAAATATAAATCTTTTCTAACAATATAAATCTTTGCTATCACTTCTTAACAATTTAACACATCCTTGCTGAATAAAAGTTTTAATTTCTTTCCAAAAAAAGAAAGAATAAAAATTGACTGACCGCAAACTTTTGAACGAGAGTGTATATTGTTAGAAAATATTTCTATTTTAAATAAATGCTCTTCTTTTTAACTTTTTATTCATCAAAGAA